AATATTTATTATCAAAAGTAATATGTAGAAAAAGTCCAATTTTGTATTTTAAGAACGATAACATTTGTGAACTTATAATAGAATTCAATTATCCTCAAAACATTAGACAATATTTATCCCGTAAGAACATTATTTGACGTTAATATGTAAAGGTCTGTTCGCTTAATTTTCATTCGTTTCTTTTTTTCAATAATAAACGTTTGATTAGAGTTTAGCTGTTTGATCTTTTAATTTTCTTAGGAAGAAAATATTCAAAAGTATCTTTCTCAGTTTTCGACATTTTTACTTTCGAACGCAGTAAGAGAAATTGAGTTTCATAAAATACTCTTTTCCAGCACAATATCACAGCAAGAAGGTATTGTTTAAGACTAAGGTCACACACAACGAATATTGTCTACAAGACGAAAAAAAGTGAAGATATTCGATGATTCCCAATTGTGTTTTTCGGTATCAGAGGGGTAGAAATTTGGCAGAAGATCACAAACTTTTTTCGATTAGGGCTGCCGGAGATCATGGTCGAATCTGTAAACACACTAGAAAGTTTGGTAGGAATATTTGAAATACGATTGTCTAACAAGTGTCTACTTCTTCACTGAATACTCAAACTACCCATGCAATCATGTCCGACGAAAGATCGTAAACTACTAACTTTCTAACATCGATATTAGATTAGATAATAAATACAAACTCGTGTTGATTGTATTGTCATGTCTACAGATGTAAATGAATCATTATTCGAATGTTCATCCTAGAAAAACATGATTATCAAAAACCACTAGAAAATCTCAATCTTGCACTAGTAACAATTGATTGTACAAGTTCACGAAGGCGTATTGACACGATTGTATTTGACATAGTCATTAATAATGACTAAAACTAAAATAATACTATTTAACCTTGACAAAGTCTGACAAAAAAATCACTCACCGAACGAAGCACTTGGTCTCGTTACTCATAATGACATTAATTAAAGCCAATGCATAGTATTGCGTTTCAATATCATGTTGTCTGAATAAAATATTTCAAATTTTTAAATAATCAATTTAAAAAAAAAGATTTACTGGCTGCAATAATCAAGTAAATGAGATATTACAAGTGTTTGAATAATTTTTAATGAATATTTTGATTCATTATCAATAAAATAAATAACTAAAAGATTCGACATAGTTTATGTTCATTTCTCATATGTTTCGTAGAACCGAACATCAATAAATAAGGATCTAGGCAATAAACAAGAGATCCTAAAATTTATCAGTTAGTAAATCTTAAATGCAAAAACTACAAAAACTAAAATTTTGAAATATTTTTCAGTTATTTGATAAATGACGTTGGAATAACAAATTGTTTCACTTCGTTATAATACCAAAAGAGAAGTGAAACAAGAGAGATTAATTAGAATATGACTCACACTAACAGCAAAATAGAATATTCAGAAAAGTGAATATTATCAAACAAAAATTTTTAATTAAAATTAAGAAAACATTATACAGGGTGTTCCAAAAGTAAGGCAACCGAAAAGAAATTGAATATCTCCATTACGGCTCGAATAAACGAGCTGATCTTTTTGTCAATGATAGAGGCATGCTCAAGCTTTATATCCATAAAGACATGCCCAGAGAGATCCTTTGTTAAGTATCACCTAGTGATCTCAACAAAAAAATTTTACTTTTTCACATATAGGAAAAAAACAATATACAGAGTGACGCAAGTCACTTTGCCGAAAAGAAAATTGTATACTTCTACTATAGCTCGAGCAAACGAGCTGATTTCTTTTACTAATGATAGAGGGATGTTCAAGGTTTATATTGATAAAGACATGCCTGGGGTCGCCTTTTGTTAAGTATATTGTTTTTTTCCTACCTGTGAAAAAGTAAAATCTTTTTGTTGAGATCACTAGGTGATACTTAACAAAGGATCTCTCTGGGCATGTCTTTATGAATATAAAGCTTGAGTATGCCTCAATGATTGACAAAAAATCAGCTCGTTTACTTCAGCCGTAGTGGAGATATTCAATTTTTTTTTCGGTTACCTTACTTTTGAGACACCCTGTATATGTTGATATATTTTGATACCATGGGTTTAATATATTTTTGTTTGGAAACAATTCTTGAAAAGATTCTTTTTTTGATATGTTAGCAATGCTATATTCATAAAAAATTTTGTTTTCTTTTTTTTTTGTTGTTTCCTTTTTTAATTATGTCACGTATTCCAATCTCAACTAAATTCTCATGTCAGCTGTGACATGTATGTCCATGGTGAACAACCAAACCAAAAATAATATTTAGTTTTTTGTCAAAGGCACCTGATTCTATTGCATCGGATGTGCTGGAATAGACGCCAAATATCATTTTCGAGTAATTGATACAGATTTTATTCCAACATTGTATCGGTGAAGAGAGAACTCCTCTCTTCAATGTCGTGATGTCATGCATACATGCCCATGGTGACTGAACCAAGAAAAAATAGATTTGGTTTTATTTCAAACCTGTATCTTTGAATTTCATCGGATGTGGTGGAATAGATGTTAGACATGAATATCGAGCAA